CACCATCAACAGTGTTGTAAATCCCATACTGATCAGTCATTAGATATGGTCCATCCTGGGAAGAAGGTATGATCCTGGCAGAGGTGGCTCTACAGCTTTGGCAGTCCCTGAAGGGGCCATCAGCTGAGCTGTATGGCAGGAGCTGGGCAACAAGGCCTGCCTTGAAAGGGGATCTAAGCAGCACATCACTGTGTCCATCCCACCCTCCTTTATTCTCTGAAAGGGCTATGCCACAAAAAATTACTGAATCCTCCTCTTTCTTTTTTTTTCTCTATCTTCTCCAGTTCTAAGAGAAGTCTGCCTTTCTGTGGGAGGTGAGACTAGAAATCCTCAGACACAGGGAATGTGTTTTATGCTGTCAAGGTAGAGCTGCTATTTTGGACCTTAGAACACTTGCTTTGGGAAGAGACTGAAATAGCCCAAATGTGAACCACCTCAGTGGAGAAATTGGTGAGAAAAGAATCGGTTTAGCATTGGCTTGATTAGACTAGATTGGCAGAGAGAGTTCTTCATTTTGTGGGAACGCTGGCTTCCAAGTGCCACTATTAACTCATACTTGTTGAGAGCACCAGCTTACAGACTATCTGACACATCTGCTCACTCAATGCATAGTTATTGAGTGCCTACTAAGTGCCTGTCAGTGTTCCAAAAATAGAAGAGACAGTGAACAAAACAGAAAAGTGCTACTCCTCTCTGAAGATTTGTATTCAGTTGGTTTTACTGAGCTTACAACATCAGTTGTGTATGTAATGACACAGTTTGGATTTAAAGACACACAGAGGTTGAAAGTAAAGGATGGAACAAGATATACCATGCAGACAGTAACCAAAAGCAAGCTGGAGAGGCTATACTGTTATCAGACGAAGTAGACTTTAAGGCAAAAATTGTTACTAGAGATAAAGATATCTTATGAATGATAAAAAGGTCAATCCATCAAGAAGATAAACAAAAATATTTAGGCATCTAACAGCAGAGCCCCCAAATACATGAAGCAAAAACTGACAGAATTAAAAGGAAAAATAGACAATTCAGCAATAATGGTTGGAGACTTCAATATCCCATTTCAATGATGGACAGAATGAGTACATAAAAGATCAATAAAGAAATAGAAAACCTGAACAACAATATAAGCCGACTAGACCTAACAGTCATCTGCCTATAGAGCACTCCATCCAACAGCAGAATACACACTCTTCTCAGGCATGTTCTCCAGGATAGACCACATGTTAGACCATAAAACAATTATCAGTGCTCGCTTTGGCAGCACATATACCAAAATTGGAACAATACGAGAAGATTAGCATGGCCCCTAGGTGCAAGTGACACACAAAGTTGTGAGGCATTCTACATTTAAAAAAAAATTTTTTTTTTCAACAAGTTTAAAGGGGTTGAAATCCTGCTAAGTATGTTCTCTGACCACAGTAATAAGAAGTTAGAAATCATAATAGAAGGAAATTTGGGAAATTCAAGACATCATGTAGCCTTGTGTACCTAGCTTCTGTGAAAGAAGCATGATGCTTTGGATATTCATCTGTGTCATTATGTGTATCAGTAATGTGTTCCTTTGTATTACTGAATAGGTAGTCTGTTTGTGGTAATATCACAATTTGTTTATTCATTTGGACATTGGGTCATTCCAGTTTTGGCTATTATGAATATAGTTGCTTTGAGCACTCATTGACAGGCCAGAGCATATGTTTCATTTATCTTGGGTAAATACGTAAGAGTGGAATTGCTGGAACTTATGATAAGTATATGTGTACCTTCATAATAAATTGTCAAACTGTTTTCCAAAGTGAATACTATTTTACATTCCCACCGGCAACTTATAAGATTTCTAGTTATTCCACGTACTTTCTAGCATTTAGTTTTTTGTCTTTTTAACGTTAATGCATTTTATCCATTTGTCAACTAGGGAACCATTGGGATGAAGGCCTTTGGTGCTTCCAAGTGGCACTTGGAGTGGTATCTCAGTGTGCATTTCAACTTACATTTCCCTGATGACTAATGATGTTGAGCACCTTTTTCTGTGCATATTGGCCATCTGTATCTCTTCTTTGGTAAAATGTCTGTTCAGATCTTTTGCCAATTTTTAAATTTGGTTGTTTGCATATTATCAAATTGTGAGAGTTCTTAATATATTCTGAATACAAGTTCTTTTTTTTTTTTTTTTTTTTTTTTGTCTTTTTCCGTGTCCGGCAACGGATCGCAACCCTCAGTGTCGCCCCCGTACCGGGCCAGGACTGGCAACGGGATCGCAACCCTCGGCGTTGCCCCCGCGCCTCGCTCAGCCAGTGAGCGGGAACCGGTCTGTATGTGGGATCCGAACCCTCGGCGGGAGCGCCTCCGCGCTTCCCAAGCGGCGCACTAGCGCAGTGCGCCACCGGGCCGGCCCTGAATACAAGTTCTTTATCAGGTTGTGTTTTGCAAATGTTTTCTCCCAATCTTTGGCTTGTCTTTACATTTTCTTTTTTTAATGAGAATTTTTTGGAGCGGGCGGGTACAGCTGGTTGGTATGGGGATCCAAATCCGTGACCTTGGTGTTACCAGCACCATGATCTCCCAAGTGAGCTAACTAGCCAACCCTTTTACACTTTCTTAACAGCATCTTTTGAAGAGCAGAAGTTTTAAGGTTTGGTTAAGTCCACTGAGAGGGCTTAGAAGCAATAACACCCAGTAACAATCAGCACACCTAACACCTAGAGTTTGGTTTCTAAATACTCTTCTCCACTAAAAGGAACCAGGGGTCCTAGGAGAAATGGCTGATTCCAGGGCTGGCATGGATAGAGCGTAAGCTGAGCCTGGAATATTGTGTACCAAAATGTAAGGAAGTGTCAAAGAGTAATGGGGGTTAGTCAAAAGCATATCGGAACCATCTTCAAGATGCTCCCACTGGCCAAATCTGAGATAATGTGGGCATCAAAAGAAATAATGACAGTAATGAATTATAACCTATAGAATAAAATAGGAAACCATGAGTCTGAACAGATAAAAATAAATAAATGGGGGTAAAATGAAAGCCCTTCCTTACGGTAAAATGCCAACTATAAATAGATGGAATGGTGGAATTAGAAAATCACTATCTGGTAACCATTGTGCTTATAATTTATTCAAGCAAGAATCATCAATTTACGCTAAAACAAGTGGGTGAAAGTTTGTTGAAGAACAGGATATTTACATAGTTTCAAAGTATCTCCTTACAAAATACATATTAATTCCAAAGAAAAAAATAGTATCTTTCTAGTGGAGAAACATAGGTGATACTTCCTTAACCAAGTGACCAAAGTTAACCTCATCAGAAATCGACAATGGTCACCTCCTGATAGCATGTGCTGAGAAAGACACAGGTTCACTTCTGTGGTGTGTTCCTGCCAAAAATTACATGATCTGACTCTAATCACATAGAAACATTAGATGAATCCAAACTGACAGACATACTACAAAATAAGGGCTTATACTCTTCAAAATCGTCGAGGTCACAAAAAACAAGGAAAGAATGAGGAAGTATTTAGTTTAGAGAAATATGACTGCTAAATGCAATTCGTTATCCTGGTTTGGATCCTGGACCAGAAGAAAAAAATATGGTTTTCTATGAAGATAGTACAATAAATATACCAAACTTCTACTCCTTGGAAATTCAGGCACACTGGATTTTCTTTGAGAGAGGGAGAATCTTTTTGCAGGTTTAATGGTTTTTCAGATGTTTATGAATAATTTGTATTTTCTCTGTTGTGAATTACCTACCATGTCCTTTATCCATTTATTATTCATCATAAACATTTTCCAGTCGTAAGTTTATTGATCTTTTTCCTTTGTTTTAATTATACAAGTAAAACATTTCTTGTTTAAAAAATAAATATAAATCGTGTAAAAGGCATAAAGGCAAAAAATGAAAGTTTCGCTCATCTCCACATCCCACTCTCCAGATGTTCTCCTTCTCATTTCATTTTTTAAAGTTTGTCTCCCATCCTTTTTGCTTTCTTTTACTCTAAAAATTTCTAAATATTTCTGTGAATTACTCATGCAGCAAAAGCATATATCTTAATGGACTAGGAAAGCAGAGAGTCTACAGTGAAAAAAAACTGTATGTTGATCTCTACAGATTTCATGATAAATGTTCTATGTTCAAGAATACACATGTTCACACATGTTCATGAATATTTAAGAATTTTTAAAATATAGACCTTATAGCAAAACATGTACATAACTGATACATAATTAAAAATGACTATAGCTATATACAGTGAGCTAGTAGCTTAAATTCTGGGTTATTGGAAGCCATTACATCATCTTTCATGCTTTCCTTTGATTTAAAAAGAGAAAAACACCAAGAGCTTTTGTTTTATTAAAAGTGTGAGTTGAAATTGGTATTTGGTGCGTCTGTGCTGTGTGGTGCAGGTTGGGGGTAGAAATGAGTCTTCTCTCACAAGATTGACTACCTGTATCTTTTGTTTTTTATGCTTTGTGGCATAATAGGATTGTGGAACTGAAGGGCCACTGGAAAGTTTTTGTAACCTCCCTGTGAGAAACAAATGACTGGAATACAGTAGGCAATCAGTAAATGGTTGTTGAATTAATAGATGAGTTAAAATGAGGCCCAGAAGGTAAATGACCTGTTCCTAGTCCTCCACAAGTTAGTGACATTTGACCTCTGTGGTTTAAGTAAAGGAACCGGAATATTGATAGAAGCGCTTTCACTCACCCATTTCACAAACATTTATTAAATGCTTCCAATATGCCATGTGCTGTTCAAGATGTTATTAATATTCTTTAGCTGTCAGGCCCATGAGGAAGGAGAGCTATCCAGGTCACAAATGACTTGTAAATTGATAACTGTACGTCCTGTTACTTAGTGACTACTGTTCTTCTGCATTACCTGTGAGGAAAGCCAGTTGCTTTTGCTGTCCTGAGCCTGGGGATGTGGCATGTGGAGTGAGAAATGGGCCTTTCTCTGAACTGTGAACTTTTTTATGAACTGAACTTTTTTTTTTTTTCCCCAGCTGGAAGAAGAAAGATCTGTTCTCAATAATCAGTTGTTAGAAATGAAAAAGAGGTAGGCTTTCTTTCTGTGTTTATTGTTGTGTGTGTGCGTGTGTGTGTTTAATAAGGAAAACGTGAGAACATGATGTGTATGGTAACTTGTAGTAGAAAACAAAAACCTTCTTGTATTCAGAAAATGGCACTGTGTTAGTTTGGTATTCATAATTGACAAATTATGAAAATCCATTTGCAGAAGTTTCACTGATAATAAAACAAAAAGTTTAATTTTTAAGCCATGTTCAGTTGCATTTATTCAGAAGTGCTCTAAAATCAGACTTTCTTACATTATACTGCTGTTACCTCTTAGTTTCAGTAACTAAAAATACTATAAATTTACAGATAGTAATTTATCTGCATATAAATACTGATTTCAATTTCTAAAAAAAATAACTGTTATTTATTATTCTTTCATGATATTCAAATGGAAACTTAGTATAATTTTTCTAGTCCTTTTGAGTAAGGATGAACATGGCCATAGAAATAATCATTTAGAAGCTGATGCTTATGCATATTAATGATCTGTGTCTGCTCTTTTAAAACACAGTTTTTGTCTAGAGAAGTTCTGTGCTTTATATTGCATGCCAGGCAAGTTTAGTGTGTGCTACTGCTGAGAACCTGAGTCTATCCAATGGTGTGCTGTAGAATACTGAATAGATTCTTACCACAACAGTGGCATGCTTTTTTCCTTATTAAAAACAAAACTAAACATAAAAGCAAACCTTCAGGAATAGCCTGATCAAGAATTCTTCCTGCCAGCATGGCACTTGCTTAGGAATTGATGCCTTTTTTAGTGCACAAAGATATTTGGATTCCATAAGCTACAGTCTAAAGAACATTAGGCCTGGGCCGATCCCTGGCCTCAGTCAGGGGTCCCTTTCCCCTTTCCTTTTTAAATTAAGAAATATTTAGATTCAGTCTTCTTTCAAATTTCACTAAGGTGCTGTTTATACTTCAGAATGCATGTGTGTTTCACCACTGCCACACCGTGGCCCAGCCAGATGCTCTCCAGGGGCTGTTAGGAGTGGTGCCTTGCCTTAACCTTAGTTCCTGTGTACAGGCACAGCTCTTCCCTATATGGGCCTCGGGGTATTTAGTTCTACTTAAATAAGTTTTTGTTTCTTTAAAAGGACCTTGTGTAAGCAGTTATTAAGGATATGTGAAAAAATAAATAAGGCTTCTTCTTGTGGCATTTTGGCAAGGGCACACATAAAAATGGCCTGTTGTACATACGACACAATCCCGTCACATTATTTAGCACTTCATAATTCACAAATTTATCTAACCTCAAAACAACCCAGTGAAATATGTGGTGAGGCTCGCATTTTAAAACAGTGAAAAAAGAGCCCCCAAAGTTAGGCAAGGACAGAGAGCTAATAAGTGACGAATGCAGGCTTAAGACTCAGGTCTTCAGATTTTTATGCTGGTTCTCTCCTCACTGTATTTATAAGCTTTTTGTTTATTACTTTTTTTTAAGTTGCTGTGCTTCATTAATTCTTATCATGTGACTTTAACTAAATTACATGCCTTTCAAAGTATGATTAGACATGTGACTCTTTTCATGACTTAAAAAGATGGAACAAATTTGGGCACTGTGGAATTCTCCTTACTTCACTATCTCTGTTCTGTTTTATGTTCTGGATATTTAGGAGAATGTCTCTTGAAAATTACCCTTAATTTTGATCAGTTAATGTAGATAAAGATGATAGCTTTTTTCTGGGAGTGAAAAATTTAAAAACCTAGTTTCTCATATTTAGAACTTGCTTTTTGTTGGTTAATTAACCCTCATGAAAAGTTATTTCTGTTTTAGAAACCTGAATGTAAACATATTTTAGCTAATATTTCACCCTCTTAAATGCCTTCTAAAAGTCAGTTTGGTAAAGGATTCATATGTAGGTCTCTGTGTGTAATGGTTAAATAAACTTATTGAGTATAGAATACTAAAAAGAACTTGATATGGTCTTAATTTTAAAACCTTGTAAGTACTTAAACTATAAAGGCATTTGAAATGTAGTCGTTCATCCAAGAACTGAGAGCTTAGTAAACAATTTAATTTAGAAGTAATCATTGAATATACATAGTCAAGATAGGATATAATCATTTCATTCAAATGGTCATGATATTTAAGTGGAGAACTTACTCCTGACTGTAGGATGAAACTAGTTATCATTAAGAAATCAGAAGAATACTCCTGTATCTGCTGTGGGTTTTTGGTCACTGTAAACATTGAGTTTCAAGCAATATGTACTAAAGGTTTTTCTGTAACCTTAAAAATGTGATCATTTCTTTGAAAAACTAGTCTCCAAGTAGGGCAAACCTCTTTCAAAACAGCTTCCGAAATGTTTGGCAAAGCAGCATAAACCTTGAATTGCTCTGATTGCCAGAAGTGGAGAGGGTTTTTCCTCTGTACCACTCAAGCCTAATGCAGATCTGGGAACTGGTTTGGCTTCCCTCCCTTCTCTAGGCTTTGTAATGTCAAAGAAGGGACTCCAAAGCCAGCGTCTTAAACATGGAACTTTTAGAGTCAGAATTCATTCTGTTAGTACCAATGGATTTCTGTCAGGAGTGGAAACTGGTTTGATGCTACTGTCTGCCAGTTCTGAAGAGGTCTGTGCTGCGTCAGCTCGTTCAGCTCACTGTGGGTTGCGAACTGTCTGACTGTCTCCGAGCTTGCGCTACTTACCAATGCTCATTTCACCCCTCTCTTTTCCCTTTCCTACTCTTGCTTCCTTTGCTATATCTGTGTGTCTTTAATGGTAAGACTAAAGAAAGTCTATCCACGTTGTAATAAATAAATTTCATATATTTTTAGTAAACCAAATTGTTGCATATATTTTTTGGCTGCCTTTGTCCCTCTGTGTCTTGCTTCTGTTTTGTAAAATATTCTCAGCAGTATATACATGTACACACACAAACACACACATATATTTCTTTTTTATATCTATATACAGCAAAGGACTTCAGTGCAAATTTACCCTCCTTACTGTATTTGCATTTCTCTTCATGTTTCTAATATTTGGTTCTTATTATCTTGCATTTTTAAAGCTTGCCCAGTAACACTTTAAGGTATTTGCTTCATTACTGGAATTTATTTCTTATGTAAGTAGTAAGGAAAGAATCTGGGTAATATGTTTCCTTGGGGGATGGGAGAGAAAAAGATTTCTGGGCCCCTATAGCCCTTCTTTCATATTAGGTTTATCTTCCACTGATATTTTTAGTAATACCAAGTCATTCTAGCCAACATGGCTTCAAAGCAGTACAATTCGTGACTCAGATGTCAGTAACATTGGCATAAATGGTTTAATTTAGCCACTCTTGGTTTTCACAGTGGGATTAGGGCTTAGAAATGACCTAAGAAGCCAGCAATGCACATCTGTCAAAAAATGAGCTGCCTAGGTCTACTTGTCCTGTCATTTGGCATGTAAATCACAAATCAGATCTTTTTCTTAACCATCCATCTTTTGATAACTTGTATAAGTGTTCTGTGGGCCATCTTCTTAGAAAGCAGCCTGGCTAAGAGGTTGTATGTGTGTATGTGATGAGAAGCAGAAAGTCTGGTTGGTGGCCCCAGAAAAGGACACCTGTTTCTTTTTCCTTCTGCCAGCTGGTGGTTTGTTTATCCCTCCCCAACACTAAGAATCTGTGGGATCTTGGCCAACTAGAATCCTGATTAGAGGAGAATCTAAATCTGTTCAACGACCCCAAATCCTGGTATTTTTCAGTAAACAATTTTAAATTACATTTTTGAAATTTGAGACGTATTTATAAAAAGTAGAGCTCTGTAAATTCTTTTTATAATAGAATACCAAATAAGTTTAATAGAAAGTTAAGGAGCTAATGATTTGTTATCTCTTTGGATGACATCAGATATTTACCTTCCAGGTGGCAGAAAGTGCCTGCCTATTTCTTCCATTTAAATTGTTGTTTCGTTTTAACCTAAACAAGATCCTATATCCTAGCAAAGTGTTACTCAGTAATTTAACAGCACTGATGCCCACCCCTTTCCAGTGTGCATATAATGCTTGGGTTTTTAATTCAAGAAATTTCTGTAAGTCTCAGATTCTTTTCTTACTACTTATCATTCTGGAGTGTAAATGTAAGCCACACAAAGAGATGAATACAACACTTATATTTTCATCTTGTGTAGAATTTCAATTTACCATGAATCATGAGAATTCTGTAATTTGTGTGCCGGATATCTTGGGTCTCACTAACCAGACATACATTCTGTCATTTCTAACCTGGGCCTTGGTTTCCTGTTCCTCCAGTTGGTTCAAAAACAGACTGAACCATTACATGCTCTGCATTCACCCTGCTCCTTCTAGCAGAATGAGGAGTAATTTGGCTTGTTGTCACAGTTAAGAACTCTCACTGAAGATTATCTACGCTAAAGCAGTGTCTTAGGTTGTATGGCCTGTGGGCTAGCCTAGGAAATTTTCCTCCAGTTTTATTTTTCCTAATGTATTTTTGTACTACAAGGTCTCTTGTGTTTCACGCTGTAGTAATTTTTTAAAACTCTTTATTTTAAGCTAATTTTAAATTTACAGAAAAGTTGCAAAGGTAGTGCAGCCAGTTCCTGTGGCGCTCTCACCCAGTTTCCCCTAATGTGAACATCTTATATAACCACGGTGCATTTACCAAAACTAAGAAATCAGCATTGGCACAGCTAGCCTCGAGACTCTACTCAGGTTTTTCCCTTTTTTCCATTAAAGTTTTTTTTCTCATCCAGAGTACAAGTTAGGAAACCACATTGCATTTAGTTCTCATATATCGTTAGTCTCTTCAATCTGTGACAATTCCTCAGTCTTATCTTGCATGACCCTGGTACTTTTGAATGCATTTAATTTTTATAACAAATTTAAATATAAACACATATGTAAATACATGGTAGCCTGCCCTTTTGGATTGTATTTATTGTGTCTTGCTCTCCCTTCCTGTTCCTCCTTCATCTTTGCCTTTCTTTCCCACTCCCTGGACTCTAAGACAAATGCTTCCCTCATCAAAGCCCTCTGCAGATACCAAATGCCAAGTCACCAGCGGCCAAGCGCTCTTTCTCTCTCCACACTCCCCCATGATTTCATTCTACACCTGAAAACCCATTTTAACATCTTCTGCTCTAGCTTTTATGTAAACACCTTTATTTTCTATGAGCAATTTAGTGCCCTCTTCAGATTCTATGGTTCAAAAGTAGTACTCCTTCGGTTTGAATATAGTAATAAACTTTGCTACTGTTTTGGCCCATAAGATCCTACAACCACCTTCTTGGAACTTGCTAAGTTACTAAAATTAGTGAGAACCAAATGATATTTCCAGCATAAAACTGCTCTGCATGACATCTGTATAACTGCTTTGCATGTATGTATTTTAATTGTTGTTATTGCTTGGTAATAATTTATTCAAGAATTAACAAAATTCAACTTTGGGTTAGATTTTGGTAGAATTTGGGGGGGTACAATAGTTTTCTTTTTTAATTCTACATCTTCCAAATTTATTAACTTGTTTCTTTAAGTTCAAATGGATACAATGATATGCAGATTCTGACATGTCTGTGCATAGGTAAACTTTTTCTCCCCTCACAGTAAGTAAAATTTCAAGTAAAAATTTGCAAACATAATAGCCTTAACCCCCCATAAAACTTCCCTCTTATACTTTTTGTTTTACATTAAATAAAGTTAATTGTGTGTTTGTTCTAGAACAGCTGTACACTGACCACTCTCTCAGTTGATTTTTGGAACTCTTAACTCTTTGGTCTTTTAGAGAATCCAAGTACATAAAAGACGCAGATGAAGAAAAAGCTTCCTTGCAGAAATCCATCAGTATTACCAGTGCCTTACTCACAGAAAAGGATGCAGAGCTGGAAAAACTGAGAAATGAGGTAGAGTACCATCTGAGGTGAACATTCACGTTGCCTCCTCTTGTTCAAACTCCAAGCCTAAGCTACACAACTGTGTTTCAGGTCACAGTGCTCAGGGGAGAAAACGCCTCTGCCAAGTCCTTGCATTCAGTTGTTCAGTCTCTAGAGTCTGATAAGGTGAAGCTTGAGCTCAAGGTAAAGAACTTGGAGCTTCAACTCAAAGAAAACAAGAGGCAGCTCAGCAGCTCCTCAGGTAAAATGCCCACCTGGTGCTTCTCCACACACCGCGTTTCCTGCCCAGGAGCTGTCTCTAGTAGAGATGCTCTTTGAAGGCAACTGTTGTGCTGCCGCTGACTGACAGTCCTTGACTTTCCCACCATGTAGTCAGATGAGGGCTGGTCATGACCTAGGTCCCACACATATGCATGCCTGGCATTCCCACTCCTGGGCCTTCTGTGAGTGTTGTCACAAACATAAGCTGCCATCACAGCAGCAACCGTGGAGTCTGAAAGTGCATGGCAGTGAAGAAGAGGTAGTCCCTTTAGTGGAGGATGACAGATTGATCCTTTAAATTCAGATAGAGGTGACAGGCATTCTTACCCAGTAGCTGGCCAGCCTCAGAGCACCTGCAGGGCTAGGGCCAGTGTCTGTGAGATCCCTCAGGGGTCCAGCTAGAGGACAGGAACTCAGCCATGTGTTCTCAAAGAGGCACATCTGGGAAGTCCACATGGAAATGAGTTTCTAACACTGGCCATTTCTCTGCAGTAACAGGGGGAAAATGCAGTTTTTTGGTGTTTTTAAAAAATCTTCCTTCCACTTTTTTTTTTCTTCTTAAACATAAGGTAATACTGATACTCAGGCAGAAGAAGATGAAAGAGCCCAGGAGAGTCAGGTAATGTTCTTTCCTTATTGTTTTGCTCTCTTCCTATTTTTCAAAATCATTTAATCTTTTGCATAGGTAATACATTCCTATGGTCCAAACATTAAACAGTGTTAAAGATATATACATTAAAGTCTTCCTCCAAACCTGGCCTCTCTTCTGCTTAGTTCCCAAACCCCCAAACAGGTAATTACTGTTATTAGTGTCTTGTCTTCTCAGAGATTTTTAAAAAATTAAATACAAGCCAATACTAATACAGTCTTCAGTCCCCCTCCTTTTTACATAGATAATGGCATACAACATAAACTGTTCTGTGCTTTTTTATAGCTTTGTAGTATTCCATTGTATGGCGGTATCATAATTTAGTCACTTCTCTATTGGTTGACATGACATTTGGCTATTTCTGATCCTCTAAGTGTAGTATAAACAATGCTGTAAGGCATTATCTTGGACAGCTATCATTTTGCACATATACTAGTATTTCTGCAGGATAAATTCCTAGAAGTAGAATTGTTCTGTCAGAGGATTCCTTGCTCACCTTTACCTTAAAAAAGTTGGGTTCATGAAAACAGTCTCTTAAAGCCAAAATGAACAAAACAACTTTAGTTTTAAAAATGGGATTATATGGAGGCAAACTAGTCTGTATTTGGAAACATAACTGCACATAAGCAAAAAATATAACCTTTTAATTTTAATAATATATTTTGTATATATTTATCCTGTACAAAATTCAAAGGTATAAAAGCCATCTTTCATTTTGAAATAAAAGAAAAACTCAATGAGTTTGAGATTTGTTGTAGTTATCTGACATCTTCGAGGGCATGAAAGGATTCAACAACATACTAACTTATCCTAGATTAGCATTGTCTACATAGTTTGCATGACTAAAGGCATAATAATTAATAATATTTTCTTTCCCCCCTTTCTGCTTCCGTTTGTTTCATCTGCTGCTGACAACACTTTTCTTCCAATCAGCAAATGGTTTGTTTTATGTTTCCTAATTTGTGTGCACACGTATGTGTGTGTGTGTGTGGGGGGGGTTTTCCTGCCATACTTACTTCCATTTTGTGGCTTTTTCATCTTCCTGAAATGGAGCTCTTAACAGGATAATGATTTAGAAAATGCAATTTGAGAAGTGAAAATAGATTCAGTGGCTCTGCCTTCAAAGGTGGCCTCATTGATGTTGAAAGGAATATTCTGCAGAGAAAGACTGTAGTGACTGCTAACTTTGTTATTTAATTTGCCCCAGCAGGAGACAAAGACCAGATATTTCCTTAAAAAGTACAATATATATATATGTATGTATGTATACACAAACATATAGACAAACATATTTGTGTAAAATGGAATCTTTCAATTTATAGAAATTAGAATTTTTTATTGTAGAAGGAAGAAAATTTCTTTTCTTATGTATGTATACACAAACATATAGACAAACATATTTGTGTAAAATGGAATCTTTCAATTTAGAGAAATTAGAATTTTTTATTGTAGAAGGAAGAAAATTTCTTTTCTTTTTTTTTTTTTTTTTAATTAATGTACCATTAATTTGAAGGGAAATGTCGAGGACAAGTGTTTCCTCCCATGGTTCCCCAACCGCCCCGAGCTTCTCACAGGTGCTCCTCACACGTGTGCTGCCTGGACACCGCCTTGACGCTGTGTGCCATAGCGTCTCTCCTCAGTGGAAAGGGAACTTTAGCCTTCTCTTTTAAACTCCTCCATTTTCCCTGAAGAAAACATTTACTTATTGTTCCATCATTACCAGTCAGCCAATAAATGGTGGTCTGAGGAGAAATTCAATGTAGTTTTTTGAAATGTACAGAACAGGAAAGTCCTGGATTGGCTCTAGAGTTTAATGGAGGAACTAACCATTTATGCATTTTGTAAAATTGTGTGTATCTTTGAAGGTAGAAGGAAGAAAAACATATTCCCATGTATCCAGAAATGAAAGATTATGATTTTTGGAGAATGCAAGGTGTTTTGTTTCTATTGAAAGAAATACAGTAAATGTTTCTTCTACTTGTCCGTGAATCTTATATTTGTAGCACTCCACCAACCTGCAGATTTAGATAAAGTATTTCATTTGCCTCAATAACAAATGCAGCTTACCCATTCACAACTGAAAACATTCAATGAAATGTAATTTAAAATGTTTTCAAGTATAAAATAGCATCTATTCAGTAAGGAACATTTGAAGAACATTGAAAGATAGAAAGGGGAAAAAAGAAACCTCCATAGCCCCATCACCTAGGCATGGCCTCATTTAACTCTTTAGTGAAACAGTCTCAGCATTCCTATTCGTTGGGGAGACTGAAAAACAGAGGCGAGTACCCGCCACCGTTGGCCCCTTTAGCACACTTTGCAGCTGTAGCCTGAGAGTATACTTCATGATACTCCAGCTTATGCATGTTTTAGACATTTTACCCATATCACTGTTTCTTTTTTTGAACAATCAGATTGATTTCCTAAATTCGGTAATCGTGGACCTTCAAAGGAAGAATCAAGACCTCAAGATGAAGGTAGAAATGATGTCAGAAGCAGCCCTTAATGGGAATGGGGATGACCTGAACAATTACGACAGGTACTTCATGTTAAGCCATACTGATTGGAACCTTGGTTCTATCAAAATAAATGTGTTTTTAAAGTTAGGTTCTCCAGTGGATTGTAAAAACAAACAAAAAGAAACAATTGCTTGTGGTTACTTTGCCATAAAAAAGATTTTCATAAATCTAGTGAGACAGAGATTACAAATGGTTTGACATGAAAATTTTAAATGTGGAATGTACAACTTATAGTGGGGGCTCACAGACCTGGCCATAGTTAGTTCTTGCTTATTTTTTAAATTCTTTACAAGTGTTATTGTTTCCTGAATTTCTTCTGATAAAGTTTCCAATTTTACACATTAATATCTGTAGTGATGACCAGGAGAAACAGTCCAAGAAGAAACCTCGCCTGTTCTGTGATATTTGTGACTGCTTTGATCTCCACGACACTGAGGATTGTCCTACCCAGGCACAGATGTCTGAGGACCCTCCCCATTCCACGCACCATGGCAGTCGGAGCGAGGAACGCCCGTACTGTGAAATCTGTGAGATGTTTGGGCACTGGGCAACCAACTGCAATGATGATGAGACCTTCTGATGAAGCCTCAAGTCAAGAACTGGCTTTCTCAGATGCACTAGCATTTAAGCAATTTACCACCAGCATTGTATGTGCATACTTCAGGAGAACTCATGTTATTTTTGACCCCCATCAGCAAATCTAGAAAATATTTTGATGTCCAACAAATCACCCTTTAGTCTCCCCTTATAAGTTAGAATAATAAATAAATAAATATTTAGTAGGTGAGTTTTCACCTCTAATTTTGTTTTCTTGATCTTTATGTTTTAAGACATTGCACCAGATGCCATTACGTTATTTTCCTTCGAGAAACCTCATAGAACAATCCCTACCTTTACAATACCTTATTTAAGTAACTTTAAATTATGCTGATAATTTTCATATTTGCACTAAAATATTTCCAGGCTGCATTTGTATATTTAGATTTTTTGGTTAAGCTGCGACACTGGAATGAGTTGAAAAAATGTGCCATTTTGCATTTTCATCTACTCATTTAAAATATTTTATTCTTAATCAAAGAAATATCCAGGCTCTTTGCACTACCTGTTATCAGTAGTGCCTTTATTGCAGGCTTGATAATACTTACGTGTGATTATAAAATCATGAACAGGTAAAGGGAGGGGTAAGCCCCAAAACTGCTGTGGGGACATTTTATAATCTATATGCTGCACCCACTTACTCTAACTGTGGTGTTTTGTTTACTGGTATTGCATAATTTCAGCTTCTATATATTATATGTACATATTTTTTTAAAAATTATATTTTGGGAAAAAACATACACAATGTGTCTTTCTTTTCAGATTTTTACCTTTATGAAAAAGAGAACACATAAAAAATGATCATCAGGACATAACACAGACTTGGCCAGAAATAGCATCATGTTGCTTTGCAACTATTTCTTTTTGTTTTGTTTCTTTACCTGATTTAAATAACTGGAAAAATGTTCCCCAATATTTTTTTCTTCTCTAGCAGATATCCCCAGCAGTCAATTAATTAGATAATATGCTACTATAAAACACCTGAATTAACCAATCTACAATCTTCCTTTACAAGTTTTTTTTTTTACTGTGTTTTTAGATGAATGTATGATGAGAAATTCAACATTAATAATTTTGGATTTTCTTATCACAAAAAATAAAATGAAGGACCTCAACCATCAGAACAGTTTATTAACCAGTCTGAATCTATTTATCTTCATTTGAATGTCTTCTAGAATATGTAAAAAGTAATAAATCTTCCATGCTAAATGTATAGTAAGAACTTCTACAGTTGTACATATGCCTTTGATGTATTTTCCCCTCAAGATTGTCAACTGTGTTTGACAAGTGAATATTAAATAAATCTGTTATCAGTTGAAAATTTTTATTATAAACATATTATAATAGGAATTGTTTCCCAAACAAAACATGTAAAGCAGTATTAAAATCTGAGCAAACAAGTATTCTGTATCTACTTTAATAAATGATTATTCTTATTTGCCATTGGTAGTAAACTCATTATTCTCAGGTTTATTTATCCTAAGTTTTTCTTCAAATGAGCAAGCCCTTATAGACCCAAATAGCAATTTATACTTCAGTCTTGTTGCTAAACAGCTTTTAAGAAATTTGTATGTCCTATCTCAAAGCGTGACCCATTTAGCATAAAATAAATACTTAAGGTTGTTATCCATGGCTGTTATCACACCATATTACCTGACACAAATTTAGGTGGCACCATTGGCACATGTACCAACGGTCTATTAATACATGAAGTTTTAGAAACTCTGAAAGTTGCTGTGATATTTACAAAAATGAGTACTGAACCAATTAAGTGGACATTTGTTTTATGAATACAGACTCACCTACAGGTAGATATTTTCCAAAAGCAGAGTTACTCCTTCAATAAGAACATTACTTTTACCTAAGTAATATTCTAAGACATTATTTCTCAACTTTGGTATTGACTTCAGGTAATTAACAGACTCTAAATTAAGTCTACAGTATTTATACAACAACTACCGCAGTATAGCAACGACTTTTCTGCTCTATAAAAGCATCTGTTACTTGATCTTCCATCAGCCTGATCCTGTTTTGGCATAGCTTATCAACCTGGTCTTGCTCAATTGCACTCACGCATGCTTGAGATTTCAATAACCTTGGGGGGGCATTTTGCCTCAGAGTAGGTCGTACCGTCATTTAACGGCTCATGACATGGCCTGCTGAGCTCATCATTTATTCTCACAGGTCTTAAAATGATACATTCTCAGTTAAGCAAAAACCCCCGCACACTTGATACAGGCTGAGAACCACTGTAAAAACCAGTTGAGAATTAGCGCATGGAGGAGTATGCATGTGTGGTAACAAGTTATGTCAAAATCTAAATGATTTTGATGGAATCAAAAAGTTGAAGGGCTAGGGCCGGCCCAGTGGCGCACTGCTATAGTGCGCCGCTTGGGAAGCGCAGCGTCGCTCCCGCCGAGGGTTCGGATCCCACATACAGACCGGTTCCCGCTCACTGGCTGAGCGAGGCGCGGGAGCAATACTGTGGGCTGCGATCCCGTTGCTGGTCCCGGTCCGGTACGGGGGCGACACTGAGGGTTGCGATCCGTTGCTGGACACGGAAAAAGACAAAAACAAAAACAAACAAAAAAAAAAGTTGAAGGGCTGGCCTGTGGCTCACTTAGGAGAGTGTGGTGCTGATAACACCAAAGCCAAGGATTCGGATCCCTATATAGGGATGGTCGGTTAGCTCACTTGGGAGAGTGTGGTGCTGACAATACCAAGTTAAGGGTTAAGATCCCTTTACTGGTCATCTTTAAAAAAAAAAAAAAAAAAGTTGACAATAGAAGTTTTGATTGAATGCTTTTCTGCATCACTCCCAAATTCCACTCTACTTACTCAGACTCCATGGTGATTGCTTATTGAGTCTTCATAACATAGAGTATAAAAGATAATGAAGGGAGCCATGCACTTGAAGACCAAACATTTTCAAGTTTCTTTACCAGATCCCAAATGGCCCATTTCCACCCCAAAGTATTGAAGGGCATGTCATCCTCATAATAATTTGAGCAATTAAGTTCCAGGCACCCTGCTAAGCTTTTCACGTGGATTACACGATGTAGTTTACATCTGATCTTCACAACTCACAAGGTAACGTGCGAAATTTACCGATGAAGCAAGTGTGGGACCTGGATTCCAGATGCGACAGTATTTGTGTGAAATAACCATGTCGCTGTAGAAGTCTATTAGGAAGGGCTTAAAAACGGAAAAGCCACTCAAAGGTTCCCTTGGCTCCTGACCACATCTGTAAATTCTGCAAGCCGAAGGACCCTCTGATTGCTATAATTTAAAAGATTTCCATTCCAGTTTAGCCTCGTTACTATTTTACAACAATTACCCTTACTGCTTAGAAAGAAGTCGCTATTTTTAACAAGACGAGTGGGATCCAGTCTCCATCTTTAAACTTACTTCACAGCGCCCGGCGACACCTGGATTGAGGCAGAGTCTGAAGAAGCCGCGAGGTACAGGAAAAAGGCGGACGCTAGGGCCGAACGCGAGACAAGCCGAATCCCGCGGGTTTCCGGGATTGGCGAAGCGTGAAGGACCCGGTCACGTGGGCTGACCTGGATTGAGGCAGAGTCTGAAGAAGCCGCGAGGTACAGGAAAAAGGCGGACGCTAGGGCGGAACGCGAGACAAGCCGAATCCCGCCGGTTTCCGGGATTGGCGAAGCGTGAAGGACCCGGTCACGTGGGCTATCTGTCACGTGACTGTGACCGGGGGCCTCGCGCAGGAAAAAGCGGGCGTGGCTGGAGTTGGGGGAGAAAGGGGGCGGTGGGGCAAGATGGCGGCGCACCTGTCCTACGGGCGAGTGAACCTGAACGTGCTGCGCGAAGCAGTGCGGCGCGAGCTGCGCGAGTTCCTGGACAAGTGCGCGGGAAGCAAGGTGAGGGACGGGAGGCAGCTACACCGCGCTCGCCTCCCTTGGTCTGGCCTGGCCTGGCCTAACCCGGCTCCTGACCGCCTGAACTCGCAGTGTACGAGGTCCCTTGGGGCTTCTCAGGAGGCGTTTCCCGGCCCTTCTCATCGCACCCCAGTGCAGGCGGCAGCGATGAAGCGGGGAGGGCCTGGGCGTACAGCCGGGTGTCGGCGTGGCACCGCAACTGTTTTGTGGAAGCAGAATAAGCCCGCGTGTTATCCCAGGCCCTGGCGAGCCGGCTTATGTCTAGTGCTCTCCTGGTCCAGAGTCAGATCTGGTGCCTTCTGAAGCATGGGACTGGTGGGGCGGGCCTGGCCCAAAGATGTGGACGGTGCACGTTACAACGACCATATGTGTCAGTACCTGAAGCACCAACACCTTACAATGTGCTGCTCACACAGATTATGAGAGAAGGTGTAGTTATTTGGGGTTTTAACCTGGCCTTCTTAAAATAGGATTATTTCACTTGTTATAGCACCCAGCTTACAGGGGTGTCAGAAACTGTAGATCGGGAACTTTATAGGATTTCTTTTTAAGTGGTCACCTCCCCCACCTCCCCTTAGGATTTATCAGCCCTCTTAGCTAACTAGCAGTACAGCTCTGAAGAGAAAAGTAGAACTGGGAGCTTCAGCAACCAGTCTTGGAGCAAATAGAACCCCAAGAGGTAGACTGGGTGCTAGCAGCCATTGAAAGAAGAAAGTAAGCTAAGTCGTAGAGGTCCAGTTTAAACTCAGCCAGTGATGCTGAAATCTGATTATGTCAATGTCAGTATCCTGACTGTAATTTTGTACTATAGTTTTGCAAAATGTTACCACTGGAAGATACTGGGCAAAGTATACAGGGGATCTCTCTATTATTTTTTACAACTGAATGTTAATCTACAATATTTAAATAAAAATCTCAATAAAAAAAAAATAAGTGATGCTGGAGTTTAGCAGCAGAAATGCTCATAGGGGCCCAGAGCGATGATTTGTGGTGCTGAAAAGTCCTAGGGTGGAATCTTGACTCCCTTATACTGTATGTAAGGTCCAAGGTTCCTATCTGGACTTGGACAGTGACTTAAACTTCCTGAGCTTTTAAAAATTTTCTCTTCTGTCAAAATAAGATTTGTAATGCTTATATCATAGGTTTTAATTTTGTATAATTGCCAATTTTCATATGGTTGAGTCTAATCATTAATATCATGACACAGATACACAGAAAACTATGTATAGTTTCTTCTTTCTGTTGAGGACAGTGATTCTTAACTTCCCTGTGAGGAACAGTAGGTAGCATCACTTGTCCCTGATGCTATTTTTCTTTAGACCATTAGGATATGAATGTGATCAGAGCCAATTAAAATTTTGGTAACTCAGAGTTTGAAGGAAATATTCCTACTGTGTGTGATTGCTATTTTCTGTATGATTGATACTGTTGAAGTTCCTGAAATTAACCATAATAAGAGAATGTTTCTCCCCTTCTTACAGGCGATAGTTTGGGATGAGTACCTAACAGGACCATTTGGCCTGATTGCACAGTATTCACTACTGAAGGTAAACGAACTATTTGTATTTTGTTTAGGGATTAATAATTCTGCACTTAAGCAATGATAATATGATTTTACATTTCCTCCTGAGTAATTGGCTTGCAAAGCTATTTGATCTTTGTAAGTACTGATACTGATGTGTGATTAACGTTTTGAATACAGTGGTTCTTTGGCAGATGATTCTGCACTGATCCTAGCATTATATTTTGTGACCATTACTTGGTGTCTTTGATATTTATCACATGAGTCATTTCAATGCTGATGCAAGTGGCTTTATCCTGAAACTTTGTCCTTTATATATTTGGCTTTGGGGAATCTAAATTTTGATGATAAAGTATTAATGTGCTTTTGATTGGCGGTGTTTATGATTTCAGAGTCTAGAAATGATAGGTAAATTTCAGATTTTTTCTTAACCTTTTGTGTATGTTTTATTAGGAACATGAAGTGGAAAAAATGTTCACACTTAAAGGAAGTCGTTTGCCAGCAGCTGATGTCAAGAATATTATTTTTTTTGTCAGACCCAGACTAGAATTGATGGATATAATTGCTGAAAATGTGCTCAGGTATCTCAGAGTTTATGTTTGGTCTAAAAGAGGTTGGTTCTTATAGTGGTTTTAATGTACTGAGCTGCTTCTCATTGTAAACACCCGCTCTTGCCAGTGCATTAGAAGGTGGTCTTTGGAAAACTGGGACAGCCATGAAAGAATATAGGAGGGGTGATGGGAAACTTGTGAAGTTGTTTTAAACAGTTTGGGGGGTATCATATAACCCCATTCTTTCAGAATAGCTAAAAGTTTGAACCTGTGTCAGTAGAAAGGATCCTGGTTTTAATAAAAAAAAAAAAAAGACCTTCTAATTGTTATTTTTCAATATACTGAACATAGTGTACTTGAATTTCATAAGCAAAAAAGTAAGAGCTGATGAAAATTTTATATAGTATCTAGTCTATAGAGGAAGTTCTCCCAGCCCAGTCTGCACTCTGTGGTGAGATTGATCGATGTAGCCCCTAAGATCTTAAAAGCATCAGAGCTATTTTTGGAAGTCTACTGTCAGGGAGAGAAGAAATGATCTTTCATTTTATTTATTTTTTATTTTTTAAAAGATGACCGGTAAGGGGATCTTAACCCTTGACTTGGTGTTGTCAGCACCACACTCAGCCAGTGAGCCAACCGGCCATCCCTATGTGGGATCTGAACCCAGGGCCTTGGTGTTATCAGCACCGCACTCTCCCGAGTGAGCCATGGGCTGGCCCATGATCTTTCATTTTAATATAAGACTCTGCGTTGCTGCATTGGTTTGGGTAAAGAGCCATTTGTTTTCAATAAGACACAGATATCCTGTTTCAATAAACATGAGAGCTTTAATGCCCGGTAAATGGTTTCAGAGAATGCTAGAGGATGCACCACAAAGTATTGTCCATGAGTCAATGCTGCTTTCCCGTCAGGGGGAAAAGAGAGAGACCAACGGTATCAATTTAGGTCTGAGAGTTGGTATTTGTTTGTTTATCTAATCAGCATTTACTTAGTGCTTGCTGTGTACCAGGCAGTAATAAAGTAAGCAAAATAGTGTAGGACTCTAAGGAGCTGAGAAGCTAACAAATGTTATTTTACTTCCTTTCCAGCGAAGACAGACGTGGCCCAGCAAGAGATTTCCACCTTTTGTTTGTGCCACGCCGTAGCTTGTTGTGTGAACAGCGGTTGAAGGATCTGGGTGTTTTGGGATCCTTTATTCATAGGGAGGAGTATAGCTTAGATCTCATTCCTTTTGATGGGGATCTCTTATCCATGGAATCGGAGGGTGCGTTCAAAGTAAGTCTGGCATTTCCTTAACATCCGACTTTAAGTTTTACCAAATTTGTGAGTGTGAAAGTATCAAGATACTGTTTTAATTTGCATCCCATGATTACTGTGAACTGAAGCTCATTTTATATGTTTATTGATGTTTAAGATATTCTCTTCAGCAAATTGCTTGTTCATTTTCTTTGCCCATTTTTTTCTTTTTGAGGAATTCTTTATATATTCTGGATACTAATGTTATAGGTTATAAAAGCTGCTTGTCTTTTAATATTGTTCATAATGTGTTTTATCACGTAGATATTTCACACCAAAAGTTAAATGGTTTTTTTTTTTTTTCCTTTTTGTCTTTTTTTCGTGTCCGGCAACGGATCGCAACCCTCAGTGTCGCGCCCGTACCGGACCGGGACCGGCAACGGGATCGCAACCCTCGGTGCTGCGCCCACCCCTCGCTCAGCCAGTGAGCGGGAACCGGTCTGTATGTGGGATCCGAACCCTCAGCGGGAGCACTACCGCACTCCCAAGCGGCGCACTGTAGCAGTGCGCCACCGGGCTGGCCCAAAAGTTAAATGTTTTAATAGTAGCTTTTTTATTATAATTCACATAGTACCGTAAAATTCATCCCTATAAAATATACGATTCAATGGTTTTTAGTATATTCAGAGTACAATATCACCACTGTCTACTTTTAAAACCTTTTAATCATCCCAGATAGAAACCCCATGCCTATCAGCAGTCACTCCTTATTCTTTCTCTCCCAGCCATTGCAACCACTTATCTATTTCAGTCTATATGGATTTGCCTATTCTGGAGATTTCTTATAAATGAAATCGTATGATAAATATGGGGTCTTTTGTGTCTGGCTTCTTTCACTTAGCATGTTTTCAAGGTTCATCTGTGTTTTAGCATGTATCAATGCTACAACAAGTATTAATTCTTGATTCCTTTTATTTCCAAATAGAATTCCATTATAATGGTATCCCACATTTATCATTCATCAGTCGATGGACAAGTAATGGGTTGTTTCCACTTTTTGGCTATCATGATACTATGAACATTCATACAGATTTTTGTGTGGATGTATGTTTTCATTTTTCTTAGATATACCTAGGAGTATATCTCTTGGATATACCTAGGTGTATATGACTGAGTCATATGGTAACTCTATGTTTAACATTTCACTGGCTTTTATTATTCTGACTTTTTTTATTATTATTGAAACTTAATTGATTGTACATATCTGTGTGGTACTGCATTGAATATCAATACCTGTGTGAAATATGTGATGTTCAAATCAGGATAATTGGTATATTCAGCATTAAACAATGTAACTGTTTTTCATGGCCCTTATCAATTTCTCGCTAACCCCTCCTTCCCCACATATTATTGTGATTGTTGTAGTTTTCTTTCTTCTTTTTAAATTTATTTTTTGTCTTTTTATTTTTTTAATTTATTTTTCATTAGCATATTCATTGTCACAAATCATACTTATTCTTTATGCCTCTTATCCAATCTCCTCCACTTCCCCTCCTCCCTTCCCCTTTCCCTCCCCTCTCTAATAACCACAGATGTGTTCTCTCCATCTGATAGATTAACTGTTCCTCTGTTGGTTTGTTGCCTAGATGATCTGTCCAGTACTGAGACAGGTGTGATCAAGTCCTCCGTGTTATCATAAATCAAATGCTTCTTCTGTTACTCTGGAGTGTGCTTTGTGGAGAGAGAGGACCTCTTCTCTTTTTTTTGGTCTCTGCTGGTGCCTCCCTTGTGTCAATGCAGTATTTGAGAGTCTGGCATGCCATCTGCACAGTGTCTGTGACTGCTGCTATAGAGACTAGCCACTTTTGTGAATGCCATGGCAGTTGTGGTGGCTGTGGTGGGCTACACATGTGGAAATGGTATTTTTGGTGTGCTCTTTACCTGGCTGCAGTTGGGTTCAGCTTCCCCTGGCTCCATGCCTCAGGCCCCTGGCAGGTCCCTGGGGTGGTGGTGGCAGCTTGCCTAGTTGAGGCTGGGTTTGGCTTCTCTTGACTTTATGCCTCAGGATCCCACTGGGGACCTGGGGCAGTGACAGCAGCTTACGTAGTTGTAGCTGGGTTCAACTTCCCCCAGCTCCATGCCTTATCCTAAGATGTTGCAGAGCAGTTGGGGGGGAAGTGGGGAGGGGACAGTGGAGGGAAATAAGGTGGGAAGAGGAGGAAAAGGGGGTGTGATCAAGGCCTGTGGCACCTCCCTCATTCTGGCAGCAGAGACCAGGCGACTTCCAGCGGTGGTTTGGTCAGTGCTACATTGGATGCAGACATCAGGGGGGTGTGACTGAAGCCCTTGGCTCCCCACTGCCATGGCTCTGGATTTCTTCTCCCCCTCTGAAAGAGTAATGGTTACTCTGTTGATTTGTTGCCTAGATAACCTGTCCAATGCTGAGAGGTGTTCAGGTCCTCCAATATTACGTAGAGCAGATGCTTCTTCTGTCAATCTGGAATGGGCTTTGTGGAGAGAGAAACATCCTCTTCTTTTCTTTGGTCTCTGCTGGTGACCCTCCTTGTGTTAATGCACTCCAGTGGCTAGCGGATCAACTGTGTGGTGGTTGTGGCATCTAGCCACTTTCACAGCAGTGTGGTTATTGTGGTGGCTGTCGTGGGCCACCCACATGGATATGATGTTTTTGGCTTGTTCCTTGGTGCTGGCATTGTGCCTGGTTGTGGGGGGGGTGGTCCAGGCCCCTACTCCATACCTTGGGTCCCTGGGTGGGCCCCAAGGCGCTGGCAGTGTGCCTGGGCTGGAACTAATTTTTTGTCCTTTGCTTACTTCTAAAATGGGGTAACTTCCTGTGAGGACCAGTACTTGAGCTGTGTGGTTTAGCTAAATTGCTGCTTTGCTGCTGATTTCCTAGAGAAGGATTTTTGTGCAGCTCAGGTTTGAATGGTTGACTTTATAGGTATTTTCGGCTCTCCAGAGACCCAGTGCACCTGGGTTGTGTAGAAACTGTGATCTGGACCTGAGTTTTTCATCAAACTGCATCCCATTAATTCTGTATTTCTGACCAATCTCCTCTGAGTGGTCCTTTGCTGACTGGGGGGCAGATCAGCTGTCCTTGCTGTGCCCCAGTGTTCTCCCAGTGAGCCCATCTCCTCCACTGCCTGTGCTGCAAACACTTCCCATGGGATGAGCCATGTGCTGGTCCTTTGCAATGACTCACCAGCCTCTGAGTGGCTCCTTCTTTTCAGTTGTTGTGGCTCCTCACTCCTGTGTGGGTCCATAGGAGTCCTATTAGTGGTACTGCTGGCCTGGGGGCCACCAAGGCCCTCTTCTCCCCTGCCACCTCCAAGCAACTTCATACGAAGGTGACAGCTGTGGCTTTTGCCAGCTCTTGCTCTGTGTGCTCATCAGCTCCAGCCTTCAAGTGGCTGGGGCTGGAAATGGTGGGAGCAGTCCTTTCTTTCTCTCATCGTGGCTTCTCCTGCCTTCATATACTCCATAGGTCTCTCTTCCTCTTCCTCTGAGCTCTAGTGGCCCCAGCTTGGCTGTCATTGCTTTCTAATAGTTGTAAATTGGTTGATTTGTGGGAGAGAGTGACGCTGGGGACCATCTATTCCACCATCTTGACTGGAAGCCCTACATCCCTTTACTTTTTTTTTGTCTTTTTAAATTTAGCCTTTCTACTGGGTATGACCTGGTCTCTTGTTGTGGTTTTAATTTGCATTTCTGTAATGACTAATGTCATCTTTTCATATGCTTATTGGCCATTTGTGTGTTTTCTGTTGGAAAAATATTTATTCCTTAGACATTTTAAAAATTGGGTTATGTATATAGAGTTGTAAGAATTTTTACGTTTATTCTAGATGCAAGTCTGTTACCAGATATATGATTTCCAAATATTTTCTTCCATTCTGTGGATTCTTTTCACTTTCTTGGTGAAAGTGATGTCTTTTGATGCACAAAAGTTTTTAATTTTGATGTTGTTCAATTTATCTATTTTTTTCTCTTGTGAACTTGTGCTTTTGGTGTTGTACCTAAGAAACCATTGCCTAACCCACAGTCATAAAGATTCACTCCTGTGTTTCCTTCTAAGAGGTTTATAATTTCAGCTCTTACATTTAGGTCTTTGACCCATTTTAAGTTAAGTTTGTATATAATATGAAGTAGGGGTCCAAATTTATTTTTTACGTGTAGCTATTCATTTGTTCTAAGACTGTATTTTCCTCATTGAATTGTCTTAGTACCCTGATTCAAAATCAGTTGTCCACAAATGTAAGGGTTTATTTCTGGTCTCTCAATTCTATTCCATTGATATATATGTATGTCCTTATGCCAGTACCACACAGTCTTGATTACTGTAGCTTTTTTTTTTTTTTTTTTTGTCTTTTGTCTTTTTTCCGTGTCCGGCAACGGATCGCAACCCTCAGTGTTGCCCCCGTACCGGACCGGGGACCGGCAACGGGATTGCAAGCCTCGGTGTTGCACCCGCGCCTCACTCAGCCAGTGAGCAGGAGCCGGTCTGTATGTGGGATCCGAACCCTCGGACGGGAGCGCCGCCGCGCTTCCCAAGCAGCGCACTATCCAGTGCGCCACTGGGCCGGCCCTTGATTACTGTAGCTTTGTTGTAAGCTTTGAAATCAGGAAGTGTGAGCCCTTCACTAAGCCAGTTAAATATATCACTTTTTTTTTCAGTTGGTGCTTTTTGAGTCTTAATAAATCCTTGTCCACTCTGAAGACATATAAAATCTTCCTTTTTTGAAAAAGAGTTTTAAAGTTTTGCTTTTCATATTTAAGTCTTTAATCCAGCTTGAATTTTGTATTTGTGTGTGGAGTGCGTGAGTGGTGTGTGTGTGTGTGTGTGTGTGTGTGTGTGTGGTGTGACGTGTGCTACTTATTTATATGGATAAATTAAATTATGTATGGAGGACTGACTGGTTAGATCAGTTAGTTAGAGTGCAGCCTTATAACACCAAGGTAAAGGGTTCGGATCCCCATACCACCCAGCAGTGCCCCAAATAAATAAATTCCAAATGGATAGCCAGTAGTCCCAGCACTACCTTCCCCCACTGATTATTTTTCAGCATATGTTCATTAGTGAATGTGTTTTCCTTTTTTCCCTGATTCTGAAAGTTTTCTTGCCAATATAATTTTATGTATTTGCTGTATTTACCATCTTTATTTCAACTAACACATTTTCTCATAAGAGTGTTACTTTACCTTTTAAAGATATGATTTGAAAATGTTTTGTAAACATAATCCATGCAGATGGTGAATTTCTTTAAGTAAAAAAGAGCACAGAGTGAAGAGTAAACTACAGTACTCTCTACTCCAGTTCTCAGACTGCCTGCCAGTTCCCTCCCAGAAACAATCACGATTCCTAACTCTCTTTTTTTCAGTGATGCTGTGTGCAGCTATGGCTCATAGTATACAAGCGTACTTCAAAAAGTTTGTGGAAAATAGAATTAAAAGATAGTACAAATCTTCCCATGAACTTTTAAAAATACTCTCATATTTAATACCTTCCTTACTTTTATACAAATGGTAGAAAATAATATAATATAGGCACCTGGGTATCTTGCATTATTCTCTTGATAATGTATCTTGGAGTCATTTTCTACCATATATGAAAATGATTCTTCCTTCTTGTTTGAATGGATAGTGTTCATGGTTTGGATGTACCAGAATTTATTAAACCAGTCCTTTTCTGAAGGATATTTCCTTGTTTCTTCTCTTACACTGTTAGAGGCAGTGTGGTCATGAGTAACCTCGAGCTTAGGTCCCTGTGCACGTGGGCCCTTCATCTGCAGGCTGTCCTTTACCCTCCTTTGCCATTTGTCTTTTGGCTTTGTTTATAGAGATTTTTGCTGTGTGTGTGTGTATTGTGTTTTGGGTTTTTTTGTGTGTGTGTGGCTGGCCGGTACAGGGATCAAACCCTGGACCTTGGTGTTACCAGCACCATGCTCTAACCAACTGAGCTAACTGGCCAGCCCACGTGTATGTGTTTTAACGTAATCACATTTATCCATGTTTCTTTCTTGGATTTATGTGTTTGTGACGCTGCTGCTGCTGCTCTGAAGACTAGAACTCTTGAGAACTACTGGTGTACTACATAAAGTTATTTGAATCATTTTCTTCCTCAATATGTTGTTACAATGATCACCACCTTAAAAAAGTGATTTGGGGCAGTGGAACTCAGTGGTACTTCCAATTAGTTTATAACCAAGAAAGTTTCTTGGCTCTTTTTTCCATATCCTGCTGGTTTGCCTATACTAAATATCATCCAGTGAGAAAGTCCAGGGTTCAATCCCTGTACTGGTCAGCTGCCAAAAAAAGAAAAAGAAAAAAAGTGGATTAGAGTTCTGTCCAGTTGAATGTTTCATAATATCGTGGCCGTCATTTGTACATATGAAAATCAGTATACGTAGGGCCAGCCTGTGGCTCACTTGGGAGAGTGTGGTACAGATAACACCAAGGTCATGGGTTTGGATCCCTATATAGGGATGGCTGGTTAGCTCACTTGGGAGAGCCTGGTGCTGACGACACCAAGTCAAGGGTTAAGATCCCCTTACTGGTCATCTTTAAAAAAAAAAAAAAAGAAAGAAAAAGAAAATCAGTATACATAAAATCCACCTTCTCTGTAAAAACTGGAAGGTATCCTATTGTGGGAGTGTGTGGGACTTTGGGGTCAAAAAATATGTGCATTTAAAAGTTAGTGGGTATTAACATTTGGCCCTCCCAAAATGTCCTCATAGGTTGGAATTCCACAAGCACAAATTGGGGTTGGGATTTCAGTACAAAGAATCACCCCACTGGGGCCGGCCCGGTGGCGCACTGCTACAGTGCGCCGCTTGGGAGCGTGGCGGCGCTCCCGCCGAGGGTTCAGATCCCACATACAGACCGGTTCCCGCTCACTGGCTGAGCGAGGTGTGGGAGCAACACCGAGGGTTGCGATCCCGTTGCCGGTCCCGGTCCGGTATGGGCGCGACACTGAGGGTTGCGATCCATTGCCGGACACGAAAAAAGACAAAAAGAAAAAAAAAAAAAAAAAGAATCACCCCACTGCCAGTTATAGCCTACCCAAAACTTCAAGATTAATATCTGTTGTTAACTTTTAAATCTTTTTTTTTTTTAAGATGACCAGTAAGGGGATCTTAACCCTTGACTTGGGGTTGTCAGCACCACACTCTCTCGAGTGAGCCACAGGCCAGCCCTTTAAATCTTTTTTAAAAGATGAATTATGAAAGGATTGTCTTTATAGTAATACAACTTTTGAAAATTAAATAAAATATAAATGCTGTTTTGTGAGGTGTTCCCTAATATTTTTCCTTGAATTTCATCTTAGTTCTGCTCTGATGGGGAGTTTTAAGTATTTTTGCCAAAAAAGTGTGTCTCACACATTTCCGATTATGGTCTGCCCTATTCAGAGAAATGTTCAAATACAGCAGGCTTGGAATAGTCATCTGGCAACACTTTCAGTAATGGCTAAACACTCCCATGATGTCTTTTTGCACGACAGCTCTCCTCCGTAGGGGCAGAGTACCTGAGAGCTCCGCTCTCTTTCCTCAGTTTTTGTTTCTTTTATTTGTTATTAATATTATTATTTTTTTTTACATTCTATGATGTTGTTGAAGAGCTTCCTCGGTTTTTGGATCCTCACTGTCCCCTTGCTCCTGGCTTTGGTTGCAGGAGACACATTAGGGTTAGTGCAATGTACCGTTTTGACTAACGAATGAATGATGGTTGTAAAAAATGATCCGAACAGTTCCAAATAATAAAAGCTAACCACTATTAAGCATTTGTTTCAGGTACTGAGATTAAGTGCTTTACATATATTTTTCCCATTAAATCATTGCTCTATGTGAAATATGTTCCATTCTACCGATGAATAAATTGAGGCACAGCCAGCCTATCTAACTGGCCTAGAGCACAGCTAGTGACTGACACAGCTGGGATTCAGGGCAAGGCAACCTGAGACTTTGTGCTTTGACCCCCTCTCAATTACCAAGTGGATTTGTATATATTTAGGGGGGTGGGGTTTGTTTAGTGCAAAAAAAAAGTATATTTTTGTATACTTTAAACATACTTTGTATCTTTTATAAAGTAAAATATAAAAATGAGATCATAGTTAATCAAGGTTGTTCAACTTCATTTCTCAAGATACTGTAGTTCTCATTTGTTGTCAGTATATGTGAAAATCTGCCTCATCCTCTGTACAAAGAGCAAAGTATTCTGTTGTGTGGCGTGTGGGACTTTGGGGGTCAAAGAATATGTGCATTTCTGTGTAATAGCATGTGACTCTCCCAGGATGTCCTGCCAAAGTTTACACTTACCAGTCGGTGAGAGAACCCGTTTCCCATGTAAGTCTTTATTCATCAACATTTTATTCAAGAGCTGATAAAAACTGAGAAGAGTTGGCATGCCTGGTGAACACATCCCTTCCAGAAGCCCCAGCTCCGCCCAGGACAGCTGCTTCCATGGCTGCACCCAACCACAGGGCTGCTGGCCCCCTGCTCTAACTGCCAAGCAGTGCTTTGTAAACTGACTTGAGTGCTCAGCTCCCCTCCCTGGCAAAGCGTGAAATAAAAGGAAATGATTTTATTATGCTTTGCTGAATCCCAGCACCGAGAACAGAGGCAGGCACCTGGCATGCCCCAGGAGATGACTGTGGCCTGACAGTAACAGGCCTTCCTCCCCCTGCAGGAGTGCTACTTGGAGGGCGACCAGACGAGCCTGTACCATGCTGCCAAGGGGCTGATGACCCTGCAGGCTCTATATGGAACCATCCCTCAGATCTTTGGGAAAGGAGAATGCGCTCGGGTAAGAACTAGCTATTTTCTGGTGGTAAAGAAGGGGGCTCCCCTAGTACCCAAAAGATGGGAGGAATGGGAAACCTTACAAACAGATACAGTCAATCCTCATTATTCACAAAATCTGTGTTTGTGAAATTTGCCCCTAAAATCCATTTCTAACCCCCAAATCACTACTCATGGTGCTTTGTGGATGTGCACAGAGTGGTGCGAGATTCGAGTTCCCCATTGCATGTTCCCAGCTGAGGTGGAACAAGGCCTTTTGGATTCAGCTGTTTGATGGCAAACAAGTGTCCTTTTCATGGTCTGTTTAGTGTCACATTTTTCATACTCTTGTGCTTTTTGTTGCTGATTTCGCTGTTTAAAATGTCCCCCAAGGATAGTGCTGAAGTGCTGTCTAGTGTTCCTGAGCTCAAGAAGGCTATGATGTGTTTTACGGAGAAAATCTGTGTTCAATGAGCTTCATTCAGGCATCAGTTATAGAGCTGTTGGCAATGAGTTCAGTGGAATGAATCAGCAGTGTGTATTAAGTCAGGAGTCTTCAAACAGAAACACACATAAAACAAGTTTACACATTAACCAGTTGGACCAGAGGCTCACAGGAACCTAACTCTGTATTTCCTCTAGGAGCAAAGGTTCAGTGTTCGCTAATTCAGTGTTTGCAATGACTTTATAGAACATAACCACTGCAAATAACAAGAATAGACTATATCTGATTTTATGCCTCATTGGGAAATAGCAGCTACCATTAACTAAGCTATAAGTGTTGGAAAGAGGGACCAACAGCAAATGTTTTCCTATAGCCACTTGCTTCTTGTCAGTCTCAGTCTTCCACAGCTTTTCTCCTTTTTTACTTTTTTGATTGTCTTTCTGTTTTTAGCCTAATTTTAAAATCTGCTAGTTCCCAGGAAGGCTTCACCTGATCCAATGTTTTGTTCCTAGCAAGTGGCCAATATGATGATCAGGATGAAGAGAGAGTTTACAGGAAGCCAAAATTCAATATTTCCTGTTTTTGATAATCTCTTGTTGCTTGATCGAAATGTGGATTTATTAACACCTCTTGCCACTCAGCTTACATATGAAGGACTCATTGATGAAATTTATGGCATTCAGAACAGTAAGTAAAGTGAGATCTATTTTCACTAATAGATAATATAATAAAAATATGCTTTAGGTGGGGGCTATCATTTTTATGTTGCATGAGCAATCCTGATAGTTGAGAACATTATGAAATATTATGGAGCCATTAAAATAATAAATGTGGAACATGAAAAACTGTATAGCCATACTTATTTCAATCATAAATTGTATATATGTGTGTATATGTCTGTATGTATATTCCAACCTATTATAATATATAATACATATTATATGTTACATATATTTTTTATATATATAATGACTAAATAGGAACATCAGAAAAAAGAAAATAACTGGAGGCAGAATAATCAGACCATGCCTCCAAAGGGTCTTTTTTTTTTTTTTTTTTTTTTTTTTTTTTTTTTTTTTTTTC